TACCTGCTGGCAGCAGTACCAGTCAGGCACTGAGTTAAAGGTCAATTAACATTTCAATATTAATTTAACAAACAAGGAGAAAAATGGCTTAGACACCAGGCCTTGGGTTCTACATTCAAAAGCTAGGGCAGTATGAGATAAACCATCCTGTGTGATACTGGCAAGTGACCTTGGAAACAAAGAGCCACAGGATCAAAATTACTCCCAATTTTACAGCTAAAAGCAATAGGACAGCCAAGATGAGGAAGGGGAAAAGCATTGCTACTGCAATAGAATAACCCAAAATTCTGCTTAGGCACAAAGCCAAGGCAAAGCAGAGCACAGTATGGGAGTGTGGGGAAGGCTGCCCATTATAAGCATTAAGCTGTGTGACGGAAAGTGTATGATTTACATTTTGTTTGAGAGTTTGTAGTTTAAAGTAGGGCAGAGTTGGTCTATTTATGCATCAGGGTTTAAGAACTAACTAGGTCAGTCTTTCTGAAACTATGACTTTAAACCAGTATGTGCCTCCTGAAATATAAATGGAGTTTGTTTATGGTGTGGCAGTTTGTGGCTGAAGAAAGAGGAGATCATGTGAGTGGCTTAGTGGAGTCTAGGATGTGCAATTTTTAAAAAAAATTCAGTTCAAAGGTTTTTGGGTGGTTTGGAGAAGACATACCTGGGGTCAGAAGCAAGTATAGTCTCCCTTGGAACAAGGAGATTGTTCAGAGCTATTAAGGAAATATGTTTCTTCAGTGAGAGAGTGTAGTTTGCAGAACTTGCAGACCAGGAATGTTTGGTCAGAACTCTGCATTACTCAAATCTGAGAAAGACTTAAGATCACAGTTGTGTAGATATTCAAGGAAAGGCTTTGCAGCTTTCAGAACAGGAACTCAGAAGCAATTAACTCAAACCTACAGATTAGACAGGGATGGGACATTTCTCAGGATTGTGTGGTGATGATGTGAGAATATAGAAGAGATTTTGTTCTATCATATATGTTTTGAAATCTTTCAAACTGTATATTTTAATAGCTTGGTTTAATTAATTTTATTTGTATTTCTTTTGTGTAATAACCTCTGTTTCATTGTTAAAGATAGATCTGCAGCCTGGTGTGCTTATTTTAAGAGAACTGCTGCCATAAGAAATTAGAAAAAAATGATCTATAAAACCAAATTTTATTCGAAGTCTGGCTTTTCCGGTGGTAGTATCAGCTGGGACCATAAAAGCAGTCAAATCAATCATATTAGGGATGGAACGTGTACCACAAGCACTTACAGTCAGAGTCATACAACACGGAAATAGACCCTTCGGTCCAATTCGTCTGCACCGACCAGACATTCCAATCTGACCTGGTGGATTAGCCATTCGCCAGCATTTGGCCCATATCCCTCTTAAACCCTTCCTATTCATATACCCATCCAGATGCCTTTTAAATGTTGTAATTATACCCACCTCCACCACTTCCTCTGGAAGCTTGTTCCATACATGCACCACCCTGTGTGAGAAAAAGTTACCAGAAGATCTTGGCTATTCACGCCATCCATGCCCCTCATGGTTTTATAAACTTCTATAAAGTCACCCCTCAGCCTCTGCCACTCCAGAGAAAATAGCCCCAGTCTATTCACCCTCTCTCTATAACTCAAACCCTCCAGTCCCAGCAACATCCTTGTAAATCTTTTCTGCACCCTCTCATTTTGTTAACATCTTTCCTATAGAAGGGCGACCAGAATTTTATGTAAAATTGTAAGAGTGGCCTCACCAACATCCGGTACAGTCGCAACTCCTATATGCAATGTTATAACCAATGAAGGTAAGCGTGCTAAATGCCTTCTTCACCTTCTAGTCTACCTGCGACTCCACTTACAAGGAACAATGCACTTGCACCCCTAGGTCTCTTTCTTTGCCAACACTTCTAGATCCTAACATTAACTATATAAGTTCGGCCCTGGTTTGCCCTGAGGGAGGGAATAATCTTTCTTAGGGAAGGGGAAGTTTTACAGCATTAGGGGTGACAGTCTAGTTAAAGAAAGTCGATGAACTCATCTTCAACTTGTCATCAGAAAATTTCTGGAGATGGACCCACCAATCTGCGGTTAAATAAAGTTAGGAAAAAGCATCAAAATTAAGGAAAAAGCATAGCTGCAAAAAGATGAGTGGCAGCTCAGATGAATGGTCAGAATATAAAAAGGTTAGATGGTGGCAGGAAGACATTTGAGTATGAGCAAGCTAGCTATCACGGTTTGCATTCTTAGCAACTGATTTAAATTCACAAATGGGACATGGGAATGGCTAGGAACACCAGCATTTATTGCCCACCCCTATCTGCCCCGAACTTGAGTAGACTACCACACCATTTCATAGGGCATTCAAGAGTCAACCACATTGTTGTGGGTTTGAAGTCACATGCAGGCCAGACCAGGTAAGTACGTCAGTTTCCATCTCTGTATGAACAGCGAACCAGACAGCTTTTTACAGCAATTGGTAAGGGTATGTGAGTAAGCAGACCATGTGGCAGAACAGCAGAAGGTGGTCATTTGGTCTATTGAGTCTGCCCTGCCCTCAATGAGATCATGGCTGATCTGAAAATCCTCAATTCTACTTTCCTGCCCTTTTTCTATAACTTTTAGATCCCTTATCGATTAAAAATCTCTCAGTCTGGAACATGCTTACAATACCATAAAACATAGCAATAAGTGAATGTTAGTCCTCTAAAGAATCAGAATGGAAAGTTAATAATAGACAATAAGCAAATCTTCACTCTAAAGGATTAAAATAAAATTCCAGTAATTGAACGTTCTTCCCGTGTCTGTAGGTTTCCGCTGAGTGCTCCAGTTTCCTCCCACAGTCCAAAAACATGCAGCTTAGTGGATTGGCCATGTTGAAATTGCTCCACAGTGTCCAGGGCTATACAGGCTTGGTGGATTATCCAAGATAAACGTGGGATAATGGGAATAGTGTAGGGGTTGGGTCTGGGTGAGATGATCTTCAGAGGGTCAGTGCAGACTCAATGGGCCGAATGGTCCCATTCCACACTGTGGGGATTCTATGAATATCAAGATATTGGGAGTATTTTTTTTTAGAAAGGGACATGTGCTGTAGATAAAAAGAGAGGCTGCCGACATACTGTACTTGGATTTCCAGCAGACATTGGGTAAGGTACCACATCAAAGGCTTTACTGAAAAGCAAAACTCAGATTTTTTTCCTAAAACCCATCAGCGTGCATAAGAGATTGGGTGGTTGGCAGAAATCAGAAACACAAATATGTTTCTGTTTGAGTGGCTGGGTGTGAAGAATGGAGTCTCACAGGGGACCACGCTGGTGCCTCAACATTTTACAAATTACAACAGTGACTTACATTAGGTGAGTGAAGGATGGTAGCCAAAGTTTGAGAAATTCACAGACAACACCAAGATTGATAACAAAGTGTTATGAAGACCACGGAGGTTACGGACAGATGTAGATAGGTTAAATGGATAAACTGTCACAACTGGCATAGGTGGGAAAGCGCCAAGAATTAAAAAGTGGACTGATACTTCAATGGAGAACTGCAACATTCCAAAGTGCAGAGGGATTTAGGTGCTCTAATGCCCAAGTCATGTAAAGTTATTATACAGATAGAGCATATAATCAAGAAGGGATGCTATCCTTTATAACAAGCAGAATTAAACACAAAAGGATGCTCTGCCTATTTTATACAGGACATTGGTCAGACCAGTGTCTCAAATGCAGTGAATTAGAGATGTAGTTTTGGTCTCTACTTAAGGAAGGCTAATGCATGGGAGGCAGTTCAAAGGAGGTTTACTAAATCGATAATGGATTGGACAGGCTGTGCTTGTTTCCACTGGACTCTAGATAGAACAGAAGTAATTTGAATCAACCAGATAAAAATCTGAATGTCTTGACAAGGTAGACATGGAAAGGATATTTCTTTCTGTGGACAATTCCAGAATCAGGGGGCATTAATATAAAATTGGGTTGCCCTCACAGGACCCAGTCACAAAATTATTACAGTGCAGAAGTAGGCCATTCAGCCTACCGCGTCTGCACTGGCTCTATTACTAACATTTTCCCCCATATCCCTGCATGCCATTACTTTCCGAAAAATCATCCAATCCCTGATGAGGAGAGTCTTTTTCTCTTAGTGTTGTATAACTTTGGAACTCACAAGGCTTCTTGTAAAAGGACCAAGATCGCAACAAAGATTTGAAGTGATTTGCAAAAGAAACATATGCGGTGTGAGAAAAAAAACTTTTCCACAAACAAGTGGTTCGGGAATACACTGCCTAGAAGTGTGATGGAGGTGGGTTCAATTGAGGCACTCAAGAGGGCATCAGATGATTATTTAAAGAGAAACAATGTGCAAAGCTATCAGGAAAAGAAAGGAGAAGAGCACCAAGTGCTCAACTCGAGAACTAATGTAGACATGATTGGCCAAATGACTCCTTTTTGCACCATAACACTTCAGTGATTTTGTGGAAGCAGGTTCAGTAAATATTTTCAAGGCGGAGGTGGATAGATTCTTGTTTGACAGAGTAAGCAAAGGTTATCAGGGATAAATGAATTTGGAATTCAAAATAAAAAACAGAACAGCCACAACCTTATTGAATTGCACAGCAGGCTCGAGAAGCTCAATGGTCTACTCCTGCTCCTAATTCGTTTTGTTCATATGAATAAAACAGGGTGTGGTCTCGCTGGAATTCCTCTCCACTTGGCCTCCCCATTCTGTTCATCACTGGATTTAAATTGGAGCCAACACAGGAAATTGTAAAGGTTCCAACATAAGTGATAAAATGTGCCTGCAACTGATTGACTTGAGTAAAACATCCTTTCTGAAGTGACCTGGACCATCATCACATTGTTGGTGGAAGCTTGCTACATAGACAATAGCAACCATGTTTTCTATGCAACAATGAACACATCCAAAGAATAAACATAACTGGTTGTAAAAGGGCAGATGCCAGAGGTCATGAGAGGTGCTATATAAATGCAAACCTTCTTTCCTGGAAGAAATTCTCACCTGATTAAGACTTCTCCAAGATGACCCGCTAACGCTCCATCAATATATTCTTCTGTGTTTGCAAGCTTGAACAAAAGCAAAATAATTAAATGTTTTCACCCATTTCCTCTTCTCATTCTAGTCTACCATACCAACATCTTTTAACATAGAATACAATACTGCTTTGAATTAAAGGATAAACCAGTCTGAGTGTCTGCTTCATAAACGTGTGGAAACTAGACTCTAATTCACAGCACAACAAATCAGTTTTATTGAGCATCAAGCTTTCATCACTGCATGTCCAACAAAACCACAGCTGACTAATGCCAGAATAAATGAAATTTAAGTGGAGGATTATTAGGTGGAAAATGACCTGCATTCTAATTTGTTTTAGTTGAAAGGGAAATAATTAGAATCATGAATGGTTAGATGACAGGACACAGCTATTTGGTCGCTCGAAACTGGGTTAGCGCTCTTCAACAACAATTCAATTGGTCCCACTCCTTCCCCATGCTATGGCAAAATATCTTTCAACTTCAAATTGTTATCCAGTTCTCTTTTAAGCATTTTTCAGGCAGTGCATTCTAGATCCTAACTACTCACTGCATTGATATTTTCCTTCATGTCACCAATGGTTTTATGCATCCTCTTAAATCCTCTGGTTCACATCTATTAAACCTTTTGATCTTCTCCTAAAAGAACAACACTCCAAATCTGAGATAACAAGGTGTAGAGCTGGATGAACACAGCAGGCCAAGCAGCATCAGAGGAGCAGGAAAGCTGATGTTTTGGGTCTAGACTCTTCTTCAGAAATTCTGAAGAATTTCTTCTCATTTCTGAAGAAGGGTCTAGGCCCGAAACGTCAGCTTTGCTGCTCGGCCTGCTGTGTTCATCCAGCTCTACACCTTGTTATCTCAGATTCTCCAGCATCTGCAGTTCCTATCTCAACAAAATCCCTCATCCTCTGAAACCATTCTCATGCTTGTTATGTCATCCTGTTAATATTGTTTCTCTTTAAGAGCCTGTGCTTGCCATTTTCCTTTTCAAGTCACTGTGCATCAGCTTAACATTAGTCTGCCCGAATGCCCAACTCACCCTACCATGCCTCAAACCTCCCATTTGTTGTCTATCCTCATGCAAACCTCCAGCTAAAACCACCCATCCCCATTGTTCCCCAAGTGTCTTACCTCTCCCTCCACCTTACCCTTTCCTTTCCCCAGCCCCTGACCACTTCCATCCTCCCACAAGACACTCCTCCTTAACCACCAGCACCCCCATCTGCCTCTCTCCCACAAGCCACTACTCCACCAAGACCCCTACTTTTAGGAATACTACAACTTCAAACGAACACACTGTAAATCTTGCCTACCCTATCCAATACCTTCAGATCCTTCCCATGGTGTGGTGTCCTATAGTTGCTTAGTTTTATAAAAATTCATTTTAGCTACTTCACTACTAAAAGCTTTGATTTATAAAGCTGAGGATTCCATTTGCTTCATTGACCTCCTTCAGAAATTCATATCTTTTGAATGCTCAAGCTAGCTAGACTACACAATCCAGATCTTATATTTTGGCCAATAGATTTTACAATCTGACCCGAGAGGGGATTATATATCAGAGATAGTAGGAACTGCAGATGCTGGAGAATCCGAGACAACAAGGTGCAGGGCTGGATGAACACAGGAGGCCGAGCAGCATCATAGGAGCTTTTTCTGATGAAGGGATTATGTATGGTTTTTTGATTTCAGTAAACTACTGTGGTTAACAGATCAAAAGCAAGTACCTAAGGCTAAAACAACAGCCATACTCACGTCTAGCCTGTAACATCCATAACGAACAAGGACAAGTGCCAAATTAGTCCTTACCTGCATGTTCATATACCCATCAACTGACACTAAGTAACCTTTGTACTCCATTCCCCACTTTAACTTCACCATCACCGGTTTGCCAGTCAACCCATTGAGGAAAGGTTTCGGATTCAATGGTAAACTCTGGAAGGCAGAAGAAAAACAAAACAGCCGTCACAAAGGAGAACGATCTTCTTGCACGGTATTCCAGACACACCTCCCACACCCCCAAACAAGAGTGAGATTAATTCCTGGAAAAGGAATACGTGTGTGTGTGTGAGAGAGAGAGGGAGGATGGGGGAGGTCGGGAATTGGGTGGGTGAGGGTCGGGGAAACAGACTGCCCCCCCCACCCCCTCGAAAACACCTTCCCGGAGAGGGAGGGGAGGCACAGATCAATACCCACACACCACCCCCCGCCTCCGAGAGGGTTTAGCGACGCGGGCCGGGGGCGGAGGGTTTAATTTTAGTGCCGGTGCAGCCTCACGGACCAGGCCGCAAACGCTCCGAGCCTCTGTGACCCCGGGCTCTGTGTGTGTGTGTGCGGCAGGTTCCCTCACCATGCCGGTGCTGTCTCTGTCTGGTCTGTGGGGCAGATGGAAGGGAGCGGGATGGTCTGACGGTACGGCTCGGACACGAAATGGCGGCTGCTCCGGGACGGCACAAACTTTGTGTCAGACACAGACACACGCGCGTGAGCGCCAAAGGCTGCGAGCAGGGGCTCTCGGGAACCGTCACCCTTCACCTCTCACCTCTCACCCTCCGCCGCCATATTGGGTAGCGGTTACCACGGAGACCGACAGCTCGGCGGCAAAACCTCAGCGAAAGGCAATGAGCAAACTTTCAAACTTCTCCAGCTGAGCCCCGTGAAATAAATGGCCAAGCATCTTTTACAGCAGGTACCACAGAGACATTTGACATGATTAATAACAACAACAGGTCTAATTCTACAATAGTTCCCGGGGGGAGTGGGAGCCAGGTTCTGGTGCATATTGACAATATTGCTGTTTGCAGTAAAACCTCCAGGAGGACGGCACAGACAGAGATGAAGGGTGAGCCCTGTTCAGGGGCGAGACGAAGCCAATGGGCAGCGGTCAGGGGTGGGTTTGGGGTCGGGTGGCCAGATTTTCAAAAGTCTAAGTGAACCAAGGATCGTTGAATCAGAGAATAGTTATGTTGCAGAGGGAGACCATTCAGCTCATCATGTCTGCATTGGCTCCCTGAGCATCATAACTTGTCTCCTGCCCGTTCTTTTGATTTTAATAATGTCCTGTTTCATTGCCTCAATCGCACCTGCCTCTAGCATACTGGCTGATAGTGTATTCCAGAACCAAACTACTTGCTGTGTGAAAAGTTTTTATTTCTTACATCACACTTACCTCTTTTGCAAAGCACTTCAAATCTCCCAGAGAGAAGAGTCCGTAAATAAAGAAATCAATAATACTTGGAAATGAACAGACTGGTGTCTCCATGTTGTTGTAAAGAAGATGAGTACGTCTAGTATGTGACTGGTGTGTTTCAAACCTTTTACAGAACAGTTTCTTCCAATCAATTCATTGGAAAGTCATGCAAGATTCAGGCACTGTGATGATCAACATGCTGGGGGCGAACAGTGCCTGGTGTTGAAAGTGAGAGGTCATGTGATGACATCTCCCCAATATCTCCAACGAGAGTTGTGTTTTGTTTTAAGCAGGCTGTTACGTTATGTTGTGACACAACCCCATGACCATCAAACCTTGAGGTGGGACTTGAATACAGATCTGCTAGACCAGGGGTGGGGACATCACTGTATCACAAACTTTGGACATCCAAACAGTTTGCAACACCTTTCATTAGATATTTTATAAGCTATTATCAGCAGAAGAGGCATTGGTGTCAATAAGCTAGTGACAACTGTCTTGGAGCTGCCAAGAGGGCAGTGGTGCTGGGAGGAGCCAGATAAAGGTCCAATGCATGCAGTACCACATGATGAGTGCATACAGAAAAAAAGGCGTAAATTTGACTCACGATTTCTTCCCGCCAGACCCAGTTTATATTTGACAAAAAAGGAAATGGTGAAAGCATGGACATTTGAACTATTTTTAGGAAATTATCAGGATACCAGATAATGTTTAAAATCACAATTTCCCTGCCACACTGGAATATTTGGCCACCCTAGTTGGATGCTAGAATGGGCAGTGTCTTGCCACCACATGAACAGCACAGGGAAGACATGGGAGTGAAGGAATACAAATGGAAGCACTGAGGTGGACACCAAAATTGCCAAGTGGCGGACAGTAGAATCAAGAATAGTGTGCGAGATTGAAGAGTTCTAGATCTTTTACTAGAAAAGAATAGTATAGTGTCAACCTTCCGACTTATAAGATGATAGTTTGGTAAACCATTTGTGTTCAGCCTGTCTCTGGGTATTGTATTCTGCTTCAGCAAAACTAAAATATCCTTTCCTGTGTGCACCTCAGGCTGCACTGGCAACTGTCATAGAAATGCTGCAGCAAGGAGTCTGTGCACTCAGGGACACACACTCAGCTCATGGACTCGATCAGACTTTTGTCCTTTGCCCTCTCAGCCAGCGATATGAGGCTTATATTACTGCTGTCTTGCCATGCCGTTTAGTGAAAAAACAAATCCAGGAACTTGAAGTAGTTGTCAGCAGTCCTCAGTCAAGTCAAGTGGGTTAGCCTTCGCTCAGGAGGTCCTGGCACAGTAAGTCGAGGGCAGCTTCCAATACCAGGGCTTGGTATCAGAGACTGCCCTTGACTTACTGGCAACAAGCTGAGATGAAGCTAATCTGTTCTCAACTTTGGTGTCATATTTGTTACAAAAATGATCTTCTCATATTTACACCATCACCAAGATCATTTATTACACTTAGCAATGACCAACTTCATCCCTCTCAGCTCTTCTGCTGCTGAAACCCTATGCATGCCTTTATTACCTCAAGACCTGACTATTCCAGTGCACTCATTGCTTGCCTCTGATATTCTTCCCTTCGATAATTGCATTGATCACTGCTGCCCATGTCCTAACTTGCACAAAATCCCATTTACTCATCACTCCAGTAATCTCTGGTCTACATTAGCTGCGGGTTGACTAAAGACTTTTGATTTTCAATTCTTGTTGTTCTTTTCAAATACATCTCTGTAATGTCGTCAGATTTACAACTCACTGTGTTACCACTGAGTTTAACCACTTCACCATGGAAGGCTGTGCCTCCAGGTGCCTTGGCCCCAAACTTTGGAATTCTCTCTTTATATCTCTCTGCCTCACTTACTTCCTTTAAGAACTTCCTTGAAACCTCCCTCTTAGATGAAGCTTTTGATTATTTGCCTTAATACCTTGCATTTTAGTCTCATATTTTGTTTCGTAGTACTCCCATGAAGCACCTTAGTATATTTCATTGGATTAAATGTTTTACAGGAATACAAATTGTTGTAACATTTCATTGCTTACCTTGAAGGTATAAACACAGACAAGTACAATAGCATTTTGGATCCATTTTCAACATTTTCTAGGCATTGTCTATTGAAACGTAGAATAAAGAGAAGAGCTGCTAGAAGTGAGCTGTACTCATTCACCAAGAATTATGTTTCAGGGATAAACCTCTCCTTAGTTTTGGCCATCTATTGCTGCAGTAAGCTTTACAAGGTTGGGGGTGAATCAAGGAATCTTTTCAAAGAACAAGTATGTTCTCCACAGACAGCACAGCTTGCCAACCTGAGAACAATCCAGTTCTTCCCAAAGTTTGTTTTCTGTCTGTTAGTCAATTCTCAATCCATGTCAGTGCATTATCCTCAACCCATGGTGATCTATGTTGTTTACTAAGGTCTTGTTGGAACCTTATTGAGTGCCTTTTGATAATCCAAATATACCATATCTGTTAATTGCCCCTTTTTTATTCTGCTAGTTACATCTTTAAAGTACACCAACAGGTTTGCCAAATGTGTTTTACTTTTCATAAAACCATACTGACTCTATCAAATTCTATCATTATTTTCTCTGTGCCCAGTCATCATATCCTTTGTAATAGATTCTAACATTTTCTTTATTACTGATATCAGCCTAACAGGTCTGTATTAACTAGTGGGGTTACATTTGTCATTTTCCCATCTGCAGGAACCATTCCAGAATCAATAGATGTTTGAAAGATGACCACTAATGCACCCACTATCTCTACAGCCACCTCTTTCAACACTCTGGGTTGTAGATATTTGGATCAGAGGGATTTATCACCTTTCTATACCAGTAATTTCTCCAGTATTACTTTCTTACTGATCCTAATTTCTTTCACTTCCTTATAATCCCTCGGTTCTCTAGAAGTTTTGAGAGGTTCTTTGTGTCTCCCTCCATCCCTGTACCTCTCTTCCCCATGTCATCACCCCTCCATACATCCCTTCTGCCATTCTGCCTCCCTTCACCATGTCATCTTGGCTCTCCCCTGCACCATTCTCCCACCACCACCATACCCATGAGGAGTAGAACAGACTATGCATCCATCAAGCATCAACCTTCTTACTGATTTTCAGTTTGGGTTCCTCCATGGCCATTCAGCTCCAAATCTCTTTACAGTATAGTGCTGTACCAAGCATGGACCAAAGAGCCAAATTCTTGATGTCAAGGGCAATCTCTCCTCTCTGGAGTTCAACTCCCTTGTCTATGTTTGGACCAGGGCTGTAATGAGATCAGGAGCTAAATTGCCCTACCAGAACCTGAATTTAAACATTAGTGAGCAGGTTATTTCTAAGTATCACCCGATAGCCCCATCAATGACCCATTCCAATATGCTGATGATCAAGAGTAAACTGAAAGGATGGTAACTGACTGGGTTGGAATTGTCTTGCTTTTTGTTAACAGAACATACCTGGACAATTTTCTATATTGCTGTGTAGAAGCTAGTGTTTGGAACAGCTTCGCTAGGCCACAGATAGCATGGAGCACAAGCCTTCAGTTTTATTATCAGAATGTTGTCAGGGCCCACAGCTTTGTAATATTAATGCCTTCTCCCATTTCTTGATATCACATGGAGTGAATTGGATTGGCTGAATACTGGCATCTGCGCTGTTGGGGACCTTAGGAGAAAGCTGAGAATAATCATCTACTCAGCATTTCTGACTGAAGATGTGTTGTGCACTGATGCGTTGGGTCGCTGCTGTTGAAGATGGGAAAATTTGCAGAGCTACTTCTTTCAACTTGTCCAAGCAATATTTCAGCTATTTAAAGGCAGCATGTACTACTCCCATGGGGAAGTATACTAAGCAGCATCTACCTCTTAATGGGGAGGTGTACTATGCATGCTGGAGGTGCTGAGGGTAGTTTCAAAGTGAGCTGTAAATGATTCAACGATGGAAGATCACAGTGGACGAGGACTACATTTGCCATCCTACCTCTGCCAATGCCCCTGCATTGCCACTCAGCATCTCAGACTGCTGCCACTATGGTGGCCACTGCGAGAGGACACTAATACATGGCAATGCATGGAGATAATGTCATGACATGCACAGTAGCTTATTGTCCATTTTTGCTTTCTCCACTTTCTCCTCTTCTGCTTTGTCCTCCTTTTGTAAGCTTCCTGTATGATGGATGTTGGAATGGCTGTTCCTTCCTATTAATCAGGTTTCGCATCATGCAGCAAATGACCACAATCATGAGACTCCTTCAGCTGAGTACTCAAAGTCTTGTCCTTGCCAGTCTAGACAGGAAGTGTTGCTTGAGACCTCTGAGGGTACATGCAATATGGCTTT